GGGTATCTTTTGTGTTTCGTTTTATGGTTTAAATTAAGCAAATTGACAGAAAATTATTGTAAAGGACAGTTCAACATGTAAATATAAATAAGTTTACAATTTGTCTTCTTAAGCTGATGTGTAAGGGACTGTAATTAATTAATAATCAAGTGAGTTATGATGTAATCATCATATAGATGATAATTAACATACTACTAATTCTCCATAAGAAAAAAAATACTACTAATTCATCTGACATACAAAAAAAACATCCTACTAAGATATATGATCATTTCCTAGAATCTCTCCATGTTTTCCATTATCAATGTCCTACAACATTTTTTTTTTAATGAAGTGGTTTTTTAATTGATCCCTTTGAAACCTACCCCCTGAAAAAGAAAGAATTGAATTGAATTGATGTTGCCCTAGAGACTCCATGTGATATGCTTTTTTATTTCAAGTCTAGTGAAATTCCTCAGGCACTGACTGCATGTCATTGGCACTAACATCATAGGGAATGGCTCCTTGCATTTAACAATGATTCAATGCCTTTGGATTGCTCCCCCAACCCTAAAGATTCTGTTGGGATATGCCTTGATTTTTTGAAGTTGTAGTTTGTCTTGAACAAGCAAAGGTGTTGACACTTTTGACCAAGGTGCTAATACTGCAGGAGGAAGATATAAAATAGTAGCTAAAATGGTTCTGGATTTTCAATTGGAAGTTCGTGCGTGGCCTTGCTCAAGAGGTGGTTCTGTCAACACCATGAGATAAGGTGTCAACACCCCAGCAGGAAATTAGGCATTATATATACTTAGTCAATCTCTCTATTTGCACCTTATATATTGAACTCTGTCTTTGCACCATGTGCATTATTTTTTTTGCAATCAATCCCTTAAAAATTTTTACTCTCAATTAACACCCTTCATATTTAAAATTTATATATATAAAAAAAAACACTTAAATTAACAATCAAACTCTCTATTTAAACCATAATTTTTTGTTGATAATTTAAGATTTTTTACGAGTTTCAAACTATAGAAGATGTTGACCATGAAAAAAACAATATACAAGGTGCAAATAAAGGATTAGGCATTCTCTCTTTTCTAATTTAGAATTCACATTAATGTTGGATTTCTACTTGAAGATCATGTGGCGAAATGGAAACTCCTATTAGGGCTTGAATTTGTATGTCTAATGAGAATCTAACTCCAATATTGATAATATATTATAAATATGTGTTATTAGCAACCCTAAAATTAGGGTTGAGATAGTGAAAACACCAAGTGTGGTATGGTTATAACCAACCCCCTATGGGATGATGAGAGATGCCTCTACTCTCTTTGGATATCAACATGGTGAGATTACCCTACCCAATTTAGAGTATTGAGAAGAGCTTTTTAGCCATGAATACCTAACAAGAGTTTCTTAAATGTTATTGAGAGTTTTTAGGCACATGAGAGATATTCTTTGTGAAAAATTAAATGAGACTTCTTGAGAGAGATTAGGAGTTTACAGAGAGAAGATTGAAATTGAATTTCTAATATTATAATTCTTTCTTAATAATGGATTTTTCTCTTTGTCCATGTGGTTTTTCCTTTCTTTAGGAGGGTTTTCCGTGTCAAACTAGGTGTTCCTCCTCCATATTATTTTGCTTTATTATTTAATCTACTTGTATAATTTTGTGATTATGTTTTTGAGTAATTGGACTTAGTGATAGTCAAATTTCAACAATAGTATCAGAGCTCGCAGAAGGGGATTTATCCCCAACAGATTCTTTGTGTATTGGCCAGTCAAAAGTGAAAATGACATAGTTACCATGCTACATGATATTGTGAATTTATATATTTATGAAATGTTATGATTGGATAGTTATAATTTTACATGATATTGTAATTATATTATTACAAAGAGAAAAAAAAAAAAA